TCTGCAAAAATAGGTCTACTTGGGATCGATCGCGTTTCTTTAAAGATGGATATCGAAAATTCGGGTTAGTATGATTCTTGTAGACCTTCAGTAGACGAATCTAACCCATAAAAAAAATATGATCCGAAAGCATTATAAGTTCCTACTTGGATGTTCGAAAGAAAGTCAATATACCCAAGCTTCGAAAACATCACACAACAAATCTCGGAAGGGTGTCGTTTTGTAGCCCTTGAATTGCTCTATCTACTCTAAAAATTTCACTTCTCCACCATCGACCTATCAAAAGTTATTTAAAAAATGGCCACCCTTTTTTCATTTTGAAACGGGTATTAATTCAGCGTTCATCAACAAACTTTTATAGTCGATCTTTTAATATTCAATCGAAATCTATTCGAAGGTATCCATAAACCATTTACAAATTCAATTTACTAATTTAACTCTTTTTAGTTAACAGATATATGTACTATGGATTCTACTAAAAAAATGACAAAAAATGCTCGACAACGACAATTAAATAATACTTTGAATGTTTTGCCAAAGTTCACTCCATTCAACCGCTATCGAATGTATCATATCAACGGCTCAACTTCTACGAATCTTCTACATGAACTTATTACACTAGCCAAGAAAACAACGCGATATACTATAGATACTGAAGATGATTATTTTACACATCGAGGAGCATTGATTCAAATAGAATTTATCCAACCTGAATCACTTGTTTTATTAGTTGGAATTAATCATTTACCACATAGAGCATCAGTATCATTTTGGTTAATCAAATCGATCTTTCAAATAATTTTAGATCCATCAAATATTATATTTTCATGCGGCAGTTCTTAAAACGAATTAACCAAATTTATTTCTTGTGGACTTTTTATATTAACAGCAATTCATGAAATCCATGATATTGACATACAAACACGATTTAGAAATTGGCACCGTAGAAATTTTTTACCTACGTATGATCATTCCACATGGAATATTGATAACTTGTTAAATACATATTCGAATGAATCATTAGAGAATCTCAATCATAAATGGTCACTTCAGATGGCTATCGCTTTCACATTTCGTGAATTCCACAACAAGTTTAGAAGAAAAAGCGATTTGAGTCGACATCTTGATCTCAAAAATACTTATCCACCATCAATTATAAGTGCAAAAGAAAAGGAGACAGTCGAACAAATGATTCAATATGCAATCGATGACTATTTGGCAGTTACAAAATTATTAACTTTACGCAATCTTGATTGGCCAAAACCATAAGTTGAACAACACGACCACAGCGATGAAATATTGTAATTAGTAACTCATATAACATATTTCTCTTGTGTACTACAAACACAAATATCTTTTAGTGTCAGCTTTACAATAAAAAAACATTATTCAAAGAAACATTTAATCTCTGCACGCTTTTGTATATTTCCTTCTTCTGAAATAGTTTTATCGAATGACTAATACGTAAAAACCAAACTGCATACTATTTTCTATCGTTCTCTTGTTAAAACGTTTTCTTTTATTGCTAATAATTCAATTTATAACACATTTTCTTTCTTTTTCCTTCTAGATATATTCATACAAATGATAAATTACTCAGTCACTTTCCATTCCATTTCAAATGTCAGATCTGTTACTTGTCTAAATGGCAGCTCATTAGCTAGGACCAATAATGCTCCAACATAATTTAAACTATTAATTACTATTTCACAATCCAATTCGTCAATAATATTTTCTATAGAACAGTGTAACTTCATCTCGAATTGATTTGGAAATTCTCTTTTGAATTTTCGTAATCAAATTAGAGATACTAAGCCACCTGATGAGACTGATTGAGCATCAGTTGAAACGCGTCGTGGTAGCTTAAACTACACACCCACACCCACTCTGTTCAAAACTGCAGAACTCGTATCCTTTGTCTCCAACCCTTGTATTTTTATTAATTAACAAAGAAATTAATTTTTCCGTTTATCTTGAACGAGAAGTAATTCTTGATTATATATTTCTCAACAGAGTTTATCTTTTTCTTCAGCCATCATTTTTCACGTCTCTTATTGGGGTTGTTTGATCTTGCTTGATCTGCTGCTTTTCTTGCTTGTCCTTTTTCATGTTTTCCTTGAGTTGATGGACGAGCATTGTTGGTATGTTCTTTGCCACCACGTGTGTTGCTCGAGCTGCCACCGCTTCTGCTTCTTGAGCCGCCACGACCTCTTTTTAATCGATACCTAAAACACAATACGACCTGTCGCAAGAAATATCAAGAGTATCGAAGATCAGAATCATCTCATGCATTTGTAGAAATATGCTCTCATTGTCATCGACTGCATTTTCGTTTCATACACACGTTCATTTCGGAGTTTAAATACCATTGTGAATTCAGTTCGTATGCAAAGCATCTGAAAACTGAGTACTGCTAGATATTGGCGTAAAAAGCTCTCTTATTTATAGGAAGTTTTAGATGTAAAAACATTCTAGAAGTTATGTTCATGTCAGGATGGTGTATCCGGTGACACGAAAACAATTATCTTAATTTATAGCGGAGTTTTACGGCACTTTACAGGAAAACAACAGATCGATCTATCATGTTTTATGATTATCCGTCGAACTGATATGGCGATACTTGGCCATCCTATTCACATATTTGTTCATGCACAAGAGCAGAGAGCAATCTTACATGAGATAGCGCTGTCTAAGTTTTACGTGCATTGCTTACTGAACAACAGGAAAGTGTTCATATACTCCAACCACTCCTTCCATATGTTCATCGCGAATTGGTACTGGTTGACCATTGAAGACCGGATCCATCGGCCCTAAAGAGATTAAAGAATGTTATCTGGACATATACGATAATGCTGAACGCACCGTTGTTCTCGACATTAGTTTCAGTATAATATGCGAACAGCGTACATAGCGTCTTTCCAATAAGGCGTGTCAGAAAGACAACGAAAAGTGAGCACATAGACAGTAATGAACCGGAAAGTGATGTCATTTACATCACAAAATTCAAAGTCACCCAAGGTGCCGATGTAGTTTTTTCTATTTTTTTTTCTTTGCCACTTTTGATAAACTCTCGCAAGACAGACCATCAAAAGAAAATGCAGCTGTTACTATAGTCTAGAGTAAAAACAATCGATTTCTGTCCGGCAGTATTCTCTTTATCAACCAGCTGAAACCATTTTCAAACAACCAAAAGTTTTAAAGAGTTTTCCAGTTCTAAATTTTTCTATCAAAATATTTGGTTGCACACAATCTACATTTAACCATTTCAGTTTAGAATTAGTCATTGACGCGGCGGAACAGGATAAAGAAAGCTACTTGGATGTTGCACTGAAGTGTGAGTGTGAGGTAAGGGTGAAGATGTGGGTGTGATGTATGAATGTGAGTTTGGATGTACCTGTGCCTAATGGCAACTATTATCATCTGCATCCACACGTTTCCATACACACTGTCAATATGGCACCCACAAATAGGCATTTGTTCATGGCCTATTGGATCAAAAGTTATGAACATTGGACTAAATTTTCTACTCATAACCATAATATCGCCGAGAAATCGACTTGCAGACCTTTGAATTGAGATTTCGGTTATCAATACACCAAATTCTCATTAGAGTTTTCTGCAAGTTTCAGCAATAATTCGACTTCTCGACAAACCATGCTTACAAATCGAGACTTCGGTGGCGAGAGCCTAAATTTTAAGCAATAGACCATGAAGAAATTTTGCTGTCCTCTTCATCGCGAGCTGCCTATGGCCAAAACATGGACCCAGCAGTGTGGGCTTAGTCAGAGTAGTTCCGTCGTAAATGTTTTCGTATTTCCAGAAAAAAAAATGTCACCTGTAAACAGTATTTGTGGATTTGCTTCTATAACTAAAAACTTGGCGATGCTGCTTATTTAATAAAAAAATAATCGAATAAGTGTCAATATCGTGCTATGATGTGGCATAACTTATAGGAAGTATCTTTTGGGACACACTATAGATTCTATCATTTAATGTCTTATTATCGATTTACCTGGATTAATGTTGTTGAACGACTCAAAGCGGCTGGCAACAGAACCAGTCCTTTTTGAAAATCCGGGATCCGATAATTCTAGGAAAGGGAGAGATACAAGAAAATGAAATCAAGATTTAGTCGATCGACTTGAATATATTTTTTCTCAAAATCTTACTTTGACCGACAGCAAATGGTTGTAGTAGACAGAGCGATAAAACGAATAGACTGGCATCCATTGTTGACTCGCGATGTGTAGACAATGATATATTTTATAAATCAACTAACTGCAAATTGACAAAAGCGGTATCCTATTTATATGAGTACTTACTTACTTGCTTTTTTTGAGTAACTCGATACATTATACCATACATAAGAGCAAGATAAAACTTAGATGCAAGATTTCCAATTAAAAAGATATTGCTATACCATGATCGAGTGTCTCATGACGCAACGTTGATCGGCGAAGCTATGCTACTTCCTTTTCTTTTGGAAGCATGAAAATAGAGGTAGGAATATACCGTTACAAGCTTCCTAACTCTGTTTTATACTTTTGCAATCATGTTGATAAGCTGGGTTATTCGAGACTAAAAGGAAGACAATAACCATTCCTCCCTCAAAAGGAAGTGGTCGAAAATCATCGATTTTTCCCCACTCTGGAAATGCGATAAAACGAAAGTACCTTGCTAGTATAGAGCAATTATGATATTGATTTTGAAAGATTTTTTCCTTTTCATGGAGAAAAACTTCAAAAACTTCCGAATTTTCTGTATTATTTTAAGAGTATATTAGACAAAAAAAATTAACTAAGGTACGATTTTTAAACAATATTTCTCAATAAATTATGATTGTATTTAAGGTAGATTTAGTTATCTGTTAATTACATTTTATTTCAAGCTCATATACATTTTTTATTACTGAGATATTAATGTTACTTTTTAAAGTAATGCTATTTATTTATTTGTATTATTTTTAACTATCAAGTAAAATAATGTAATATTCTTTATATATACTGGAAATGAGAAAAATATACTCACACATAGTCCATATGATTTACTCTTGCGTTCTGTTGTTCATACATGTTCAGTCACGAGAAAAAAAGAACATATCTTTCCTCTAAATAGAACGATATATATAAACAACTAAATACAAAAATAAGTTCGTACAGATCTAGGCGACGGTTGTCCTGCTCATTATAAATATTTGTGTATATATGTTTAAATTATTGATTTATAATTATTATTTGCTCTTATTACGAATTATATTTTTTATTCAACGTCGATTTTTCTATTTTTTTAATAATCTGTTTCATCGTTGTACTTCAAATTGTTTAGGGTGTGGGTGTGGGTGTGGGTGTGAGTTTAGATGTTTACCTTGACTATTATGATACCCACATCCACGTACCCCATACCCATACTTACACCCATACTCACCCACATCCACACCCTAGTGTATATTGTTCTACAGTATTTTTTTTTCTTTTCTTCTGTAAATTATTCGCGTTGCGGATAAAAAACATCTTGTATTCACTATTTTATATATGAACTCAGTCTTGAAAATGACTCAATAAAGAAAAAAGTCTGTCTTAATACCTTCAGTCAGCAAGAAAAAGAAAGAGAACGGACAAAAAAGTGCTTTGTCACAATTGCATTGCTGGATTTCTATATAGAGTATTATTCATATATTATATCGATTTTTATAATTTTTGATATAGAAAAAATTATTTCGTTAATTACATTATGGAATACGAATATTTCGACTGAAGAATGCTCTCATTATCAAACAAGAAGTTCAAAACCGATTTTAAGCGATAGAAATTCTTCGTTTGCATCTCGAGAAAAACGGTTTTCAGAATTTGTCGTAGAGTCTATCCTGAAAATTTCTGACTCTCTTTCTCATATGCTTCGATAGATGTTCGCTAATTATTTTTTAATTATTAGTCAGCTGAAAGTGCTTACATTCCCTTTTGTTCCGAATGACTCATAGTTTTGCAAGTTAACTGACTATTTTAAGACATAATATTGTTTTATTTCATGATTCCAGTCAATCTCTGATTTTCTTTAAAGAATTCAATTAGAATAAATATGAAGAAAACGCGACTTACATCTATTTATGCATATGTATTTAACGATATGCCAGCTTTATTAAATACTTTGACTTGTTTCATTGCAACTAAATCATGTACTAATAGCATATGTCAAGTATCGCGGTTTATGTTATGTCAAAATACAGAAACTCTTTCTATATGAATGTTAGTACAAAGAATATGCTACATGTT